ATAGATCTGTTAGCCGAAGGCAAGTTTGGATACGGGGTAGTGTGTTTGGACTTGGCTGTAATGCCATTTATTTGATTCAAATAAAAATAACAACCACTTACAGATCCTTTGTTTCGGTTCAAATCATTGGTATAGCAAATGTCATATATCTGGGTTCTTGCGTAGCCTAACCTAATAGCAGTCTCACACACGTTACACAAAATTTATGTGAAACCAGGCTTTATCATGATTCCTCACATGAAACTCAAAATAGCCTAAATATCACTGCTCAATTAATGGCGTGAAAGTTCGACGCTGAGATTTAAAAGTTAATTCTCCACAAACATAATTAATACTGTTTACGATGTAAATAGCGATGTACGATGTATGATGCAATAGTTATATGGTTCAGTCATATACCTAAACCAACTTATTTAAAACAAGTAAGGAAGGGATTAAGTTCGGATGTAACCGAATATTTTACACTCTCGCAAAGTCAAATGGTATACTCGTTTTAGATTTCTTTGTGGATCTTGCCGCCTTTTTCTATGTTGACGGATATTTTCGGTAAATATTCAACTATAGGCACTGGGGTCCACATATTCAGTACCTAAGGGCTTGAACAGTTTTGGTTCAATTTAGATAATTTTTGATCACAAGATGGCATACTTTAAACGTATTATTCACGCAAAGTTTTACGCCGATATAATCATTGTTGCTTGATTTGCATACTGGAAAGTGAAAAAATCAGATGGAATTTAAAATGATGTGGGAAATCGGCGTAGTTGTAATCCGATTTCGCCATTTTCGTACTATAATATAGAAATATGAGAAGAATATTATGTAGCGAATTTGGTTGAAATCGGTTAAGCAAATCCCAAGATATGGGTTTTCACTTAAAAGTAGGCGGTGCCACGCCCACTATCTAATTTTGAACGTGGTTCCTACAAAATCATCTTATACCATCCCAGAGATAAAATTTAATATCTCTGGCTTGTTTAGTGCTTGATTTATCGCGCTTTTAGTTTCATCCATTTTCACACCGTCGATAGAGATGCTAAAAGCATTTGTTCCCAGTGAATTTTATTCTTATAGCTTCAGTGCTATAGAATATATGCACATTAAACTTAACTTAAAAAAAAAATTTTAACTGCAGATGCCCCTCCCTAATGTGATCCTGTATACCAAATAAGAGTCTTGTATATTGTTGTGGAGCTTAGTGATGGCAATTTATTTGTTTTTGATTAATGGCGTTTTGTGGGCGTGGCAGTGGTCCGATACGCCCATCTGCAATACCAACCACTTACGATACCGAGAAACATGTGTACCAAGTTTCATAAAGATATCTCAATTTTTACTCAAGTTACAGCTTGCACGGTCGGACGGACGGACAGACAGTCACCCGGATTTCAACTCGTATCTTCATCCTGATCATTTATATATGTATTGTATATATAAACCTATATCTAACTCGATTAGTAGTTAGGTGATACAAACAACCGTTAGGTGAACAAAGGGCACAATAGACCATAGGTCGCGGTGCATACCTCAAAATTAATCTAGGTGAACAAAACTATTATACTTTGTAGCAACAAGTTGCGAGAGTGGACGTGGTTAAAATAAAATATTATATATTGTTATTAAGGTTACACCTACATAAACATCGATCATGACAAAGTTCGTGTGCATTTCTACTTTTACTTTTACTTCTTCAAATTTAATGCTTCTCGCGTACAATTATACGTTTTGACTTTATGATGAAGTACTAAACGAGAATGTTTCCAGCAAGTTTTATGTTGAGATTTGTATATAAAACCTGTTAGAAGAATTTAATTCGTCTCTGTATCCTGATAATTTTGATATAAACTCGCGATCAAATTTGCCTCGAACTGGTACATTTAAACTGCACGTGCAAACCAAATCGATAATTTTTAGACTCTTGCAACATGCTCCTATAGAGTATAATAGTTTTGTTGACCTAACGGTTGTTTGTATCACTTTAAACTAATAGATATCGAGTTATATATCTATATAAATGATCAGGATGACGAGACGAGTTGAATTCCGAGTGACTGTCTGTGTCTATCCGTCCGTCTGTCCGACTTGAGTAAAAGTTAATATACTTTGATGAAACTTGATGCACATCTTCCTTGGCACCCAAAAGCGGAAAACTTTTAACAAGTTATAACTAAGATGAAAATTAAGATACAAAACTATAATTTGGTATAAGAGATCGCAGTAGCTAGGGACACCTGTGGGGTAAAAATTTTTCTTGAAGTCCGCCACCTAAATGGTTTAATATACATATCTTCCAATCCGCTTAAGCTATTTCAACCAAATTTGCTGAGAAGAAGTCATTTTATCACCTCTTCAAATTTTGTGCACATTGGTAAAATCAGATAATAACCACACCCACTCACCATATAACGGTTATGTTGAAAACTACTAAAAGTACGATAATTCACTGAATAAATGAGCCACAAACATTAAATTTCACAACCAGGATGATAGAGAGGGCCTTTATAGGAGCTAGTGTGAAAATTGGACAATGGGCGTGGCACCAAACATCTTGAGGTGAAATTCTATACCTCAAGAACTACTTGACCGATTACAATCAAATTTGGTGTGGTTACCCAAACATTCCTATCAGATAGTGCGAAAATGGGCGAAATCGGATGATAACCACGCCTATTTTCCATATAACGAACGTTTAAATTACATCTGATTATTTCACTTTACAGTATATAAACGATCCCATATATCGAACGTTTAATTTACATCTGATTCTTTCACTTTACAGTATATATATAAATCAAACATCAATAAAGTTATCAGAATAAAACTTTACACGAATGCCCTCACGATATTTCATTTACGTCAAAAAATTGTCGAACTATAACTTGTGCCAATAGTGGGTAAAAGCAGGTCAACACTTTCCATACCCCCCATAAACCTAACATAAATATGTTCAAACTTCGGGTTCACTTTATATCGTATCTATCGCTCAATATGTAAGAAATTTTAATGAAATCTCTCGCCAAAAATAGATGAAGTCAAGGCGGTACATTCCCTAGTTTAATATAAAGTTTTGCCAAAACCTGAAGGTGTTCCTCTACCATTGTTCCTTGCAAGTTGCAAGAGTATGAAATAGATTGATACAATATTTTTTTTGTGTAGTTTGATCTCCATATGTCAATTAGTGTGTGCTTAGCAACTGTTTGTTTACGGCGGATTTTTTCTACAATAAAAAAAAAAAAATTAACAACCAGTGTGCTTGAAATTTTTTGTTTTCAATAAAATGCCGGCCACGGAATCGTAGAAAACGTTGCAGGAGTGTTTTGGGGAGTCTACTTTATTACGAGCATAAATATTTAAGTGGCATAAAGCATTCTATTAAGGTCATGAAGTTATCGAAAACTTGTCTCATGCAAGTCGGCCATTCACCTCTGTTAAGGACGATAACATCGAAAAAGTCAAAGAAACAATGCTTGAAAATTGCAGTGTTGGCAAAAAAAATGGCAGAGGAACTCAATATCGCTTATGTATCGACTGAACCATTCTGGAAAATATTTTGGGCATGAAATTATGCTAGACTAGTACCAAAAGACCTGAATGAGCCTTCACATTCTAGCATGATTGTGAGTGACTTGTTGGCCAAACACGATACCAAAGTCATGGCTACCGTATGCGTATTCGTCAGATTTTTGACTGAAAATCAGCTTCAGAGAACGCGTTATGAGTCCGTTGACCCAGACAAACAAACAGCTACCTAACACAGACTAATTGACACCGCATTTGCCAGATGGCAATTGTTTATGTTTTGGGGAATATGCTATGAGTCCATTGACCCAATAAATAATAATATATAATATAAAGATCGCTAGGAAATTTTTTGGCGTCATACCACACTAATTGATACCTGGAGATCAAACTTCACCTGAACATAAAAAAGGTTGTACCAAGCCGATTGCCGATGGTTTTTTGAAGTTTGCTGGAAGGTGAAAGCATTCAATGACGTACAGAGATTATTATAGCAAAGATTCATCATATGTTATTCAATAAATGCTATACACCAGCCGTACAAAGAGAATTTGAACACGTCTTTTCAGTTTCTTAATTATACTCCCTTTCATCTATGCAACTTTTTACGACAATCAAGAATACCCCAGCCTACGCAATTTTCGGTAACAGTCATGGCTTGCATAATAGAAAGGCTATATGTAAACTTCCTCTCGATACGTCAGTAGAGATGTAGACGCCTTTGTTACTTTTGCAAAGATACGGCATATTAAACGCAATGTTACATTTAACTTTGTAGCTGAATCGACCTCATGTTGTTAATCAATGCATTATACAATAATATTGGAAATATTTCAATACTTATTTGTGTTTTGAGCTCCTTAGTTAACTGACGCACCCGTTTTATATAGTATATGTCGATGTATTGTTGTGTTTAAATATCTGGTATTTAAACATGTATGTATACGCACAATAATTTGACACTTGAACAAAATTTGTATGCGCCTTACATTTCTACTTTGTATAACATTACACAGTTCCATGTACCATTTTTCATTAGTGGCATGTGAGGGGTTGTTATCAACATTTGTATGCGTGTATTTAACTTTGGTTCAGTATGAGATCTAATTTATATGCCTTTAATGAAGGTCAAACTACACATAATTGTTTCAAAATTTAATTTTTTCAGCACATTATTTTTTACTCAAGAAAATTTGTATTATATGGTTGTTACTTAAATTTAATTATGTCAGTGCTGAGGTGTAACTCTTATTTTTGAGTAGCAAAAGTAAAATAGCTTTTCCAGTGGTTAGACAACAACAAATATTTCAATTCATTTCAATTTGCATGAGCACTGCGATTTTTTGAGGTGGGTTTAATGTTGTTCGCGCTTACAAGAATTCAGCAGTTTACTACAGGCACCAAAAAAAGAAATGGGAAGGGAGATGTTGCCGGCACTTGTGTTTGGGGATGGTCAATATTAAATTATAAAACAATGCCAATTTTAATTTGGGGGCTCAGCTGGTATTTATTAATAAGTTCTTCAGGAAAAAATTTATGCTTAATCGTCTCATATAGCAAATACCACAACCAATATATTTCACACATCAAGGGAAATATTGCATTTGTTTATTTGTTATTATTGTTTTACAACAAAACCCGCACTTGCAAGTGCAATATGTATATACATATATGTAAGTAAATATACTATGTATATTATATATATATATACAAATATATATATATATATTTATATATATGTTATATTCAATTGTTAATCCATTTACTACTTATACTATAATACACATACCTGTATTTATATGTTAGATGGCTATTTCGTACAGAAAATATATGAATTTATATTTTTGCGCATTTATACATGTGTGTATGTATGTAATTGTCTACATATACATCCAGGGTAATATAAATATAAATTTTATGAACTCTACCTATTCACATAACATGTGTGTACACATAAATGTATTTACTAGTGAATGGAGCCATTTATGTATATATATATATATATATATGTATATGTAGATACAAAGTAATGTAAATAATGTAATGTTTCTTACATGATTACACTTAATTCGAAAATGACAATTATAAATAATTCGTAGAATAATTCCATATGTAGATCCTTAAATGCAAATAAATCAAATACCATGCATGTGTAAATATGTACGTGATGTAAGAGATGTACTAGTATCTACATTGTAGCTCTATAATATTTTTAACGTTCATGGGAAGTAGGGTGTCAGTTATTTCCCAAGTTGATTTGTTTTTTAATACGTCCCTCTGAAGTTTCCGTTTTTGCCCTAAAGGGAAGGGTCCAATGTAAACAAGCTCTTTATTTTTAATTTAAACCGTTCCAAATTACCAATTACGTTTACTATATATTTTATATATATTTATATGGGATTTTTTGATCCTTTGCAATAAAGTTTTTATCTCCAAAGCAAATTAATCCACAATTTAAAACAGTGATATTAGAATATAAAATTTTCCAATCCACAAAAAAGGTCGGAATGATTTTTTTCATACAAATAAGGCTTTGAAAGTTATACATATTTAAGATTATGCATCAAATGTACTGTATTCATATATATACAAGTACATATACGTTACACCATGTCGTATGAGCAACACAGAATGTACAAATCACTTGTATGAACGCTTAGATCATTTGATGTATAACTTTAACTGCGTATAATATTTAAAAGAATGTTTTTACGAAAAAATCATTCGGACCAGTTTTGTAGAGTGGAAAATTTTGTACTAAAATATCATTTTTCCAAGGTTGTCGGTTTTCTTCTTTAATGCAAAATATCAATAAATCCCATGTTATTTACGCTGGACCCATATTTTTGTGCCGAAACACAATTAACTTGGGAAAATGGACATCCTAATGTGAAGGGATGTATCAGTTTTACATGTCTCATTCATTTCCTACTGACCTTATATCTATACTTAAACTAATTCTCTACATATTTACTATGCATCAATAATTACACAATTGCGGATGTTAATTAAATGAATTGTATAACATATTAAGTTTCGTTGTCGGCTATGCTGCAATTATTTTTTTCTACTTATTAACGAATTGCAAATTCCTCCGTCAAGTGTCTCCCAACAAAAACAGAAATTACCCATTCTATTCTAGAATGGATTTATGCAAGTATTATATATCTATACGTATTTATGTATGTTCTTATGTGAATATGTTGTACAATGTTTTGAGGATTTTAATATGCAAAAAGTGTTACATAAACTGAATCGAATGCTAATTGGACGAGTTTTTAAACTAAAGGTTCAGTTTGCAGCAACAGCATTTTACTAGCGTTGAGGAAAGGCCACTGGTATACTTTTGAAAGTTCAGAACTTCTAAAATTTGCCAAAATACAATTGTATTAAACCTTTGCGACATAAAAATTCTTCTGCTAACTAGCTTTAGTTAACTCGTTGTTTCGCGAAAGCACTTACAAGGTGATTAATGTTTTGGTTATCCACACAATCGATTAAGGAAATGACTCTTAAGTTCTAAGCCTGTATCACAGGCAGCTTTGGCTGGAAAAATCGATTCAAAGCCTCATTATTATATAAGTTCTCCAAGTTCAGAGTAGAGAAATACAACTCCGCCACTATACTAAGGTTTTTTCGCTTAAACAGGGACACCCATAATTTAATTCAAAACGATGTGTGATAACGGCGGCGATTTAACGCAAAATTATGGCATAATTAGAAGTATTTTACAACGGAAGTTTTTTAATCGCAATAACCTTTCTACCTCATTTTAAGTGGAATAGAGTTTAAAATTTATGTTTGATTTTTTTTTTAAATGAATGCATAATACCTTAAGAATGTGTAGGAACGCTAAAAAAGCTATTGCCGCTTTAATTTGCAAAACATTGGAAGATTGCCGTAGACATGGCTACAGTAATGGTAGTAATATGAGCTGTAAATATTAAGGAGCGCAAAGTCACAACCAACGTAAAAATAAGTATGCAGTTCTTTCGCCCTGTGGTGCCCACAGGCTGAATTTGGTTGCAGTCGACTCGGCTTAATTCTGTCTTCGACCAATAACTGTTTTAGGTGTCGTTCAAAAATGTATCAATATTTTCAGTAGCAGCACGCAACGTTGAAAAATTCTGACATCCAAAATATCTAATTCACTTAACAGTCTTTTTAAAACAAGGAGGTCTGCCAGAACCATCAAGCCATTCGCGAAAAATCTTTCCTTATTGATAAACGCTTTGAAAAAAGTTAAAACTCAATTTTACGACAGAAACTCGTCGAAACGTTAATGGAATTTTGAAATATATGAGCAAATATGAATATGTTTTGATGGCCTCTATATGGTTTAAAATCGTTCAGTCAATCAATGAAAGAAATTTGAAGAGATCAACGCCACCATCGACGCTGAAGTTAGAAATATGCTATCTGTGGAATAAAGAGAAGATTCACCGCAGTGAGTGACATAAACGAATCGGTCTCATTTCTATGACAGTTCCATGATATGAAAAAAGATGAGCTCAACGCAGCTGCAAAAAATTTTACAAAAAAATATTTTGTTGATGTGTCTGATAAGTTGTCCAATTAAGCTATTGACCTCAAACACGTTTACGATGCAAATTTTGAAACCCGTCTTACTCCATGCAACTTATTGAATTTGATTTTTCCCAAATAATATCGTTTTGAGAATATTTTGCACTTTACCCGTTTCTGTTTCAAGTCGTGAACGTTCATTTAGTGCTTTAGCAAGGAACAAAATTGACATCGATCATTCCAAGTCACAAGGAAGGATTTCAGGACTAGCTACACTGTATTAACGACGTATTCGCTGCCGCCATAACTTGAAAAACTCACTTCTAAGTTCCAAATAATCGAATGTTGGAGGATTTTAAACTGCATGTTCAAAAACTTAGTCACGACAGTCAACAAATTTCAAAAGAACCGTTCTTTCATTAATTAGATCGATAAATACATGTTTGAATGACTTGTTTCTGTCTTCCCATTAACTGTTAAGTTTTACTTTCCCAATATTCATATATTCCGGTATAATCTGAAAACATAGACTAAAAGTTTATGTATGTACTGATTTCTAGATTATTGATTTTCAAAATCGTACCAAACAAATTTGTTCCACCCAACATCAACAAGAAATCAAATTGATTGAAAATGTAATCAGAGCATGAAACACTACGTCGTATTTGACTTATTCTTCAAAAAATTAATGTAGTAAGTGGGAAGATAGTTAATAAAGTTTTTAAGGCACCAGAGGTATTTACCCCTGGGCCCGGTTTTTCTCTCGGCAGCCCAGAGAATGTGTCAAAGTCGATTGGAGCAAAATTGACAAAGTTACGAATGTTTTGATGCCGGTCTTATAAACGGTTTACATCAGGTTTCAAAATTTTAAAGCGTTTTCTCAACAGCTCACGATTTCAAAGTCGATGCCAGTCACTACTTCAAAGCCACTGCACCGATCGTTTTGAAATTTTGCACACTATTTCGATACATAAATTACGAGATAGCGCTGGAGGGTTATTTTTTGTAAAATTTGTTAATATTTTTCATTTTACAAAAACAAATTAGTCGATTTTTTCGCAAAAAATCGTCTTTTTCCTTCAAAAGTGAAAATTTGAAATTTCGAAAACCTTCCCAGCATTGCCTGGGCAAAGCTATTATCTAATGACATAATTTTAATTTTTTTATTTCAAGATCTAAATCGAAATTTTCTCATGAAAATTTAACAGAATATCATTCAAATGTCATACTACATTGTACTATTGGTTTTAAAAATAGATTTTAATTGTTTCATCAATAAAAAATCTTAAAAATTTGCCTTGTTTTACACAAATAAACCCTATTCCCCCTTCCTGCAATTCAGCTCTATTCGGTCTTGTTGTTTAAACGAAGATGTTTTTTATGTTTTACCTATACTTCAAAGTGTCTGTCTGCAAGTACAAATACCCATACATATGTACAAATGAATATACCTGTACACTTTCGATTTACGATATTTATACTAAACATTTTACATCCTGTCATGATATTACAGCCGTCTTCGAGTTTCAGCTCTGTCCTCTTCTCAAGTAATATAAAGTGAGCAAAATAAGCTTACGTATTCAACTTCCTCAAATATTCATGGTCTGAAAATCCAACTAAAAGAAACCGTGATCGCAAGATTTTTTTCGTACAATGAATATTGTCAAAAAAACAAAAAAAAAAAAACAAGGCTAAGTTCGGATGTAACCGAACATTTTATACTCTCGCAAAGTCAAATGGTATACTCGTTTTAGATTTCTTTGTGGATCTTGCCGCCTTGTTGACCGATATTTTCGGTAAAAAGTCAACTATGGGCACTGAGGTCCACATATTCTGTACCTAGGGGCTTGAAGAGTTTTGGTTTTGGTTGGAGTTTAATTTTTGGTCACAAGGGGGCATACTTATTATTCACGCAAAGTTTTACGCCGATATAATCATTGTTGCTTGATTTGCATACTGAAAAGTAAAAAAATCAGATGGAATATAAAAGGATGTTATATGGGAAATAGGCGTGGTTGTAATCCGATTTCGCCCATTTTCGTACTATACCATAGAAATATGAGAGGAATGTTATGTACCGAATTTTGTTGAAATCGGTTAAGCAGATCCCAAGATATGGGTTTTCACCTAAAAGTGGACGGTGCCACGCCCACTATCTAATTTTGAACGTGGTTCCTATAGAATCATCTTATACCATCCCAGAGATAAAATGTAATGTCTCTGGCTTGTTTAGTGCTTGATTTATCGCGCTTTTAGTAGTTTTTAACAGTACCGTTATATGGGGAGTGGGCGGGGTTGTCACTTGATTTCACCCATTTCGTCCTGACTGTCGATAGAGGTGCTAAAAGAATTTTGTTATTGTAGCTTTAGTGGTTTAGGAGACATGCACAATTAATATGTTAGGGGTAGGACCACGCCCACTTTTAAAAAAAGTTTAAACCGCAGAAGCCGCTCCCTAATGTGATCCTGTTTACCAGTCTTGTATCTTATTGTGGGGCTTAGTTATGGCAATTTATTTGTTTTTGATTAATGGCGTTTTTTGGGCGTGGCTTTGGTCCGATTACGCCCATCTGCAATACCAACCGTCTTACGGTACCAAGAAATATGTGTACCAAGTTTTATAAAGATATCTCAATTTTTACTCAAGTTCCAGCGTGCTCAGACGGACGGACAGACAGTCACCCGGATTTCAGCTCGTCTCTTCATCCTGATCATATATCTAACTCGATTAGTTTAAGGTGATACAAACTACCGTTAGGTGAACAAAACTATTAAACTCTGTAGCAACATGTTGCGAGAGTATAAAAATGTACGTAAACTTTTTTGTATTGAAAATTGAAGTTCCTTTTTTTTTTTTGTTTTTTATCCTTGTCTTTTTTATTACTTTAGAAAATAAGAAAAGACTTATGTTTGTGAATATACGAGTATGTATGATTAAAATTTAATATAATCAATTTCCGTTTTTTTTATGAATAAGAAAGGATAGACTTCATTGAGTTTCTTCACAAAAACGCCTTGTACGTAAACTTTTTTGCTCAGTGAATGCAATAACAAAGTTCTCAAGCCAAGAATTTATTAGCAGCTAGTATGTCGATAGCTCTTTATGTGGTATAATCTCCTTCTTACTATCTATATTTGATTATACTAGTCGTTTGATCGATTCGCCACTATCTAAGTTTTGGCGAATCGAAGGCCGACAAAATATGTATAAGTAAGAGGTTCACGTATCCTGTTTTTTATAATTGTTCATTTATCGCTAGTGGTAAGAGTGCGGTTCATTCTGCTGTTGTGGATGTGCATGCAGCAGCGAATGTGGGTGATGTTGTAAAACCGTTTGCATTTGATTTTGCTGCTGCTTGTGGGACTGCATTTGTGGGTGTCGTTGCTGTTGTGCTGCATGAACGCTTAGATATTGCTGATGTTGATGCAAATGGTGTAACTGTTGATATTGGTGGTGGTGACCATGCACATGATGGCTGTAATGGGGATGTGAATAGTGATGGTGTTGTTGTTGCTGCATTACTCTTTGTATGTCTTGCTGTTGTTGTTGTTGAACAGTTAGCATCAGTGTAGGTGGTGGTGTTGCCAAAATGGTTTCTGCCGATGTTCTTGTACCCGGGCCGATAGTTTCGTTCTCATTGAACTCGTCAATTGTGTTATTTGTCGCTTCTACTATTGCTGCTCTTGCATTGACTTCTAGTCCGCCGCCGGTGTTGCAACCACTGAACGTACTATGACTGCTGCTTGCATTGCTGCCGACAGGTGAAGGTGTGCCTATGCTGACAAAGCCACCACTGCTGCCGCTTACTGCATTAGCGCTCGCGGTTATAGCCGCAGAAGCAACAGCTGCCGCGGCTGCTGCTGCAGCAACGGACGTTGCGGCGGCTGCGTTTGCCACCGCAGCTGCTGCGGCAGCCGCAGCAGAAACAGTAATGTCTGGGCGAGGCGAACCGGATAGAGAACCAACTGACGACTGACCTGTTCCGACGTTGGCTACTGATGCGGCTGACGACTGAGTAAGTAACAGTGTAGATCACTGGAGACGGGGCCAGTAATTAGTGCTGGTTAAATCGCTTGCACTTTGTGCTGGTATTTGCACAGGTACAGACACACCTGCCGAGATGACACCTGCAAATGTATGGTTATCTGAAATATAAATGAGCTCATATAGTATTCAAAGTTAAATTAATAAATTGTATGTAAATAAATAATTAAAACAAGTAAGGAAGGGCTAAGTAACCGAACATTTTATACTCTCGCAAAGTCAAATAGTATACCCGTTTGAGATTTATTTGTGGATTGGCTGATATTTTCGGTAGAAGGTCAACTATAGGCACTGGGGTCCACATATTTAGTACTTAGGGGCTTAAACAGTTTTGGTTCGATTTAGACAATTTTTGGCCACAAGGTGGCATACTTTAATCGCATTATTCACGCAAAGTTTTATCCCGATACAGTCATTGTTGCCTGATTTGCATAGTGGAAAGTGAAAGAATCAGATGGAATTTAAAATGGTGTTATATGGGAAGTAGGCGTGATTGTAGTCCGATTTCGCCCATTTTCGCACTATGACATAGAAACATGAAAAGAACGTTATGCACCGAATTTGGTTGAAATCGGTTAACCATATTCCAAGATATGGGTTTTCACCTAAAAGTGGGCGATGCTACGCCCACTGTCTAATTTTGAACGCAGTTCCTATAAAGTCATCTTATACCATCCCTGAGATAAAATTTAATGTCTCTGGCGTGTTTAGTGCTTGATTTATCGCGCTTTTAGTAGTTTTTAACAGTACCGTTATATGGGGAGTGGGCGGAGTTGCCACCCGATTTCAACTATTTTCACACCGTCAATAGAGGTGCTAAAAACATTTGCTTCCAATGAATTTTGTTATCATAGCATTAGCGGTTTAGGAGATATGCACATTAAACCTATTAGAGGCGGGACCACGCCCACTTAAAAAACAAATTTAACTGCAGATGCCCCTCCCTAATGTGATCCTGTGTACTAATTAATAGTCTTGTATCTTATTGCGGAGCTTAGTTATGGCAATTTATTTGTTTTTGATTAATGGCGTTTTGTGGGCGTGGCAGTGGTCCGATTACGCCCATCTGCAATACCAACCGTCTCACGGTACCAAGAAACATGTCTACCAAGTTTCATAAAGATAGCTAAATTTTTACTCAAGTTAGAGCTTGCACGGACGGACGGACAGACGGACGGACGGACAGACAGTCACCCGGATTTCAACTCGTCTCTTCATCCTGATCATTTATATATATATAACCCTATATCTAACTCGATTAGTTTTAGGTGATACAAACAACCGTTAGGTGAACAAAACTATTATACTCTGTAGCAACAGGTTGCGAGAGTATAAATATATGAGATGGAATCATAATCTTTGTTTAAATCTAGATACAATTATAAGCCCCAAGCTGTATTATTGTGGTCTAGTTTTAGCAACCACCTTTAGCATTTGTTGATTATTATTGGATAAACTCAAGTCTCATGGCGAATATATGGAAAGCAGTTCAGTCTAAGGAAGAGTAGTCGTAAATATTTATATATGTACACTGCGCGTCACCAGGTTAGCAGCCTAATACAATTTCTTCAGATTTTTTGGTTATTTATTTGCAGCTACTTTATTATTTGCTTATTCTCTTATCTTTGTATGAATAATCACTGGTAAAGAAAACATGCTATAAGAATGTCCCGTTATATTGTTGTTTTCTGTTCTTTTTAGCCGAAAAGTGTGCTTTATTTTTGGGTTATCAGAAAAAAGTTAACACGAGGGCAATTTTGAGAAAAACATCCAACTCTCATGAATCGATTGCCAAGATCAGGGCAAATGCTGGCGTTAAAGTGAGCTTATCAATTGGGCCAAGAAATGCCCCATATTTATTAAAACTAACCAAAAAACACCACTTAAGGTTCCCCGAAAAAAAACACGATCACATTTTGCACCGGAGCACATATCCTTAAAGTCAGATTGGCACTATGTTGTTTTTTCAGATGAAAAAAAAACTAATTTGGAAGGAACGATGGATCCAATTATTATCTTCGGAAGGAGGAACATCAGTTGGAACGACTACATAGTCGTGTGAGCGGTGTGCAGCCATCTTCTCATATAGTACTGTAATTTTTGAATTCAAATATGAATGAATATGAAACTGAAACTGCTTTTCTTCACGATGCGATAAAACACCGATTTACACTACCCGGGTGTTTAAGTCCGGGATTAAAGGACAAAACGTCGATTTAATGCATTGGGTGCCTTACTCACCCGACATCAATGTAATAAAAAAGGTGTGGGAATGGATGGCTTACAAAGTTTTCTAGTCTAGTCGGCAGTATTATATTAAAGAAAAATTAGTTGAAATGATTAAAATGGCTTAATCACCAATTTCCTTAAATTAGATTAAAAATTGTACGAATCGCTTTCCAATCGAACCTTTGAAATCATTTTCAGCAAGGAGCGGTCGACTCATTATTAAAATAATCTACAAATGTTTAAATTAGTTAATACATAAGTTTACAAATATGTTTTTGTCTAAAAATGTTAAAGAATTCTATAAAAAGTGATATGTGCTAACTTAATGACCTAATTTAAATTGTTAATTTTTTTTTGATTTCTAAATAATATATAATACAAGTAAGGAAGTTCTAAGCTCAGGTGTAACCGAACATTTTATACTCTCGCAACTTGCAAGGATCAAAGCTCGGGAAATTACTTCAGGTGTTGGCAAAATTTTATATTAAAGGAAGTATTGACCCGATTCATCCCATTTTTGACACAAAGACATACTATTATCGAGAGTTTCATTTATTTATTTTATTATATGAATTTCAATGATATATCTTACACATTGACCGTTATTTTCGATGAAAGGTCCACTATAGGCACTGGGGTCCACATATTCAGTACCTACGGGCTTGAACAGTTTTTGTTCGATTTAGACAATTTTAATTCACAAGGCGGCATACTTTAAACGCATTATTCACGAAAAGCAAGCATCATTGTTGCTTGATTTCCATAGTGGAAAGTAAAAGAATCAGATGATATTTAAAATGGTGTTATATGGGAAATAGGCGTGGTTGTAATCCGATTACGCCCATTTTCGCACTATAATATAGAAATATAAGAAGAATGTTACGTACCGAATTTGGTTGAGCAGATACAAAGATATGGTGTTTCACTTAAAAGTGGGCGGTGCCACGCCCACTGTCTAATTTGGAAATCGGTTTCTATAAAGTCATCTTATACTATCCGAGAGATAAAATTTAATGCCTCTGGCGTGTTTCGTGCTTGATTAATCGCGCTTTTAGTAGTTTTTAACAGTACCGTTATTTCACCCATTTTCACACTATCGATAGATGTGCTAAAAGCATTTATTTTCAGTGAATTTTGTTATCATAGCTTTAGTGGCTTAGGATATATGCACATTAAACCTATTAGGGGACGGAACCACACCCACTTTTTTAAAAGCTTTTAAACCGCAGATGACGCTCCCTAATTTGATCCCGTATACCAAATAACAGTCTTGTATCTTATTGTGGAGCTTAGTTATGGCAACTTATTTGTTTTTGATTAATGGCGTTTTTTGGGCGTGGCGTTGGTCCGATTACGCCCATCTGCAATACCAACCGTCTTACGGTACCAAAAAACAAGCTTCATAAAGATATCTCAATTTTTACTCAAGCTACAGCTAGCCCAGCCGGACAGACAGTCACCCGGATTTCAACTCGTCTTTTCATCCTGATCTTTTATATATATAACCCTATATCTATGAGATCGATAGTTTTAGGTGATACAAACAACCGTTTAAGTGAACTAAACTAGTATACTCTGTAGGAACAGGTTGCGAAAAAAGGTGAAAGCCTAATTGTTGTTTTATTTAGTAGAAAAATTACTCGTTAATAATCGCTAATAATTTTAGAATTATAGCTTCTTTAGTTTTGAAAGAAATTAAACAAAACTATTTAAACCTGAAGTGTGCTAATCTGATGATTAGCAGTGAATATATATCTGGAATAGGTACGTAAACATACACATAGGTATGCTGTCGACTATTTCTACCTGTACCGCTAGATGCACTTGCTGAACCGCCTCCGTATGCCGATGTATGCTGTGGTGGGGGCTGCTGATGGGCTGCGGCGGGATTGCAAGATGGTCGTGCGTGAGCTGCATAGGGCACAGAACCCAACGTAAGTGGATCGTGAAACATGTATGGATAGCCATCGCGTTGCTGTAAACAAGTTGACGTCATTGAGCTCAGCGACGAAGTCATAGAACTGAAATATAGAAATTTATATCAGCAAAATATTGCATTGTTAGCAAAAATTACCTCAATATTTCTTAAGATACTCTAATTTTAGTGCAATGTGAGATAAGCAATATATAATATAGGTTACCTACTTGTAGTTCTCCGCCATTGTAGCGATGGGCTGTGGTATCGAAGAATACATCGTGTTGAAACCAGTATTCAGAGGAAGGCGGGGCGCAACAGATTGCAAAGGTGGACTAACTGAGCTGCCATGGCCACCAACCACAACAGCTGTCGCAGCTGCGGCTGCTGCATCACCCAGTGTCGAAATGGCTGCACCACCACCATCACTTGTTCCTGGTAATGCCGCCGCTGCCGAAGCGCTTGTTCCACCTCCATTAGAACCTTCTGCGGCGCTACCATTGTTGGTAGCGGAATTGTTGTCGGCGGTTGCACCACCGCCCACTCCGACGCCACCAACTCCATTAATACCAGATCCACTTTGGTTGCTGACCACTCCGGCGGCGGCAATTGCAGCTGTATTGCCGGTGCTCGACCGGCTACCGACAGAACCGCCATTATTGCTGACATGGTCGACTGAGCGCCGTTGAGTTCGTAGTTTTTCTTCGCGTCTCCATTTTGCCCGTCGGTTCGAAAACCATACCTAGTGTGGAAGGATTGTGGTAAATTAAATTTGATGTGTTTACTGTTTAAAAGGATTTCGAACATAAATTTAAACAAAAAACCAAAACAAATAATAAAAAAACAATCATAATAAATACTTTGAAAGAAGTAATATTAATAACGAAATAAGCAAATGTATTACGGGGTGTAAATCCATTTAAGAAAATATCCTAGCATTGGATATAGGTTATATTTAGTTCTATAAAAGAATTCGAACTTTCGATTTTCTAGGAGAAATATTGTCGAGTTAACGTCAATAAAACTGTACATTCGTTTCATCGTCTAGGGACTTGCTTAAAAGAAAACTGTTTCTGTGCTCGTTGGAAAAATTGTATAATGTAAAGCTTTTTATATATCGTAATCGAGTCAAAACTTCCCGTAACTCCTATATACCGTATATGAAGATTTTCGATCTTCAGCTTGACTTCGGTCAATCTGCGAGGTTTTTAATTCAACTCATAGAGCATCTTTGACTGGTAATAATATGCCGTAAAGCCAAAAATTGATAAAATTCCTATATATTAAGTTTAGCCTCTTCGGTTGAAATTATAGCTGTCTTCGATTCGCCATTTCACTGCTCGCTTCTGCTCTCTTGCCAAAAAAATTATATGTTAAACCAGTAATAAAGATATCGAGTTAAATTCGTACAACAGAGTATGCGGATACCTCATTAAAATGGTATAACCGCTATCTTCAATGCTACAATTTTTTGTTTTGCATATTTAAGATCAGTTTTACTATTTTGAATGGCTCAAATGACAAATAAATTTGCTCTTATAATAGTTATCACGAGGTAAAATATAGCAATAAAACTAAGTGAGGCTATGACCTATAATCCATATAAGTTAATAAGATACCAAATACAAATACAATCCATTCAAGCTTTCCCTGAATAATGAATGTTTTTTTTTCGCAACGTTTTCTAAAATAAAGTTTTGCCAACACCTTACAATATTTCCCCGTCTTTGATCCTTGCAAATTGAGAGAGTATAAAATGATCCGTTACCACCGAACATAGTCCTTCCATACTTCTTTAATATACTTGTATAAGAAGAGTATAAAATGATCTATTACCACCGAACATTGTCCTTCCGTACTTCTTTAATATGTAAGAAGAGTATTGAAATGAAAATATGCCCCGTCTTTGATCTTTGAAAAATGCGAGAGTATAAAATGTTCGGTTACACCAGCTCTTCCTTACTTATTTAAAGTACATAGGTCTGTAAGAAATGAACTAGGTTATCTCTGATGAGACCGAGCTATTTTTTACATAATCGTAATGAGCACAATTTTAATAAGTTTAAGCTAGTATAACTTTTCATCTTGCTTGAAGTTTTATATGAATGAAATGTTTCAAGGGATTATTAGTTTCTATTTTGATAACTTCATTTCGGAATCTAGTGGAATTAGCTACAAAGAAGAAAACATCGATGTTTTATTCAATAAGACGCATCAAAAGTTGATATCGATGTATCGAATAAAAATGCGACAAATCGAAGCATCACTTTTACAGTATGTAACAAAAATTGTTTTAAAAACCATAAAACAGCAAATTAAGGAAACCTTCTTTGTTGTCCTTATAAATAATATTGCTACTCAATTTTAAGTGTAACAATTTTTAATAAAACATAAATAATATAAACAAATTAAGTCAAAGCCAACTCCACATACATTTAAGTTAGTTTTTACTGCAATAAATATTCTTTTCCTAGGATTTGTGCCACTAGAATTTTGTTCAACCCTTTAGGTTTTATTCTGTTTCTTTTAACTGTTTGACTTCTTTTCGGAAACAGACGTTCGGATGAACCTAATGTAGCAATTTGAAAGCATTTGAAAGCTACTTTGCATAATTTGGGAAAGCCTAAACCTGAAAGAATTTTGATAAAAATGCACGCATGTTTGACAGTCCGAGTATAGAGCGGAATAAATGCAACACTTTTGTAGGAAAAGAAAACGCCGATTAACTGCGCACTTAATCAGATCCAAATGTTTAGGTAACAGACACCAGCATTGGGAGTTAATGAACAGCTGATTGAAATTTGAAGCAATTCCAAGCAGCTTCATTTCATCGTGAAGTTTGTTTTGAACGTTTCTTTCTTAATGCCATCTCAAATTAAAACAAAGGTAATAATCTTGATTTAAAAGAAATATACTATATACTAAAGTTGCTTAATTAATCTTTTTATTCGTGTTTTCTTGTTTACGATTACAATTATTTTTGAAAAACAAGTTTCAGTGTTGGTAATTTTTCATTCACAATAGAGTACAGCTGTCAATTTTAAACAACGTCGGCAACGAAAATGACACTAACTCCCTAAAATTTTGTTTGCATTTAGCAGCGGAGTTAGCTTTAGTAACTCCTGAATGAACCCCGATTAATCCAGTCAATTGGGTTTAATGCTGCCGTCTGTCAAGGCTATAAGATATCAAATACAGGGTGGCTCACGTATCGTGCTACCAAAACAAACCGTATTAACTTTTTTTCTATGTGAGTAATCGACATAGTTTTTTTCTTATTTGACAGGTTATTATTCAAGGTTTTCAAAAATTAATGCTTGGGATACCGAAAAGAGGGTTTGGATAGTGCAGTGGTACCATGTTTTGCAGTCCGTCATTTCCGTCCAAAGGGAATTCAGACGGGATTTTGGCGGCACTCCTCTGAGTAGATGGACCATTATGAGGTTGGTAAACATGTTTGCCGAATCTGGAAGTATTGCAAGAAGACCATACCATCGAGATCCGTATGTTCGTGTTCAAGAAACAATTGCGCCTGTTGCATCATCAATTCAGGCAAATCCAAGAGTTTCGACTCGCAACTTATCGGCGCAACTTGGAGTTAGCAGACGGTCATTACAACTGATAATTTATGATGACTTAAACCTGTACAAAGTTCAAATAACAAGCCGGTTAAACCCTCTAGATTTGCCTATTCGGCTGGAATTTTGCCAAAAAATTATTGGAATGGAGGAAGAAAATAACTTGATAAATTGCCTGTTTATGTCTGATGAGGACCATTTTGATCTACTATGAAATGTAAACAAGCATAATTGCCGTATATGGAGTGAATCAAATCTAGAAATAACCCACGAGACGGAACTTCACCCAGAACGAGCCACTGTGTGGTGCGCAGGTTCATTAAGGTAGTAGTCTGGTAACTTGGGTTTAAAAAATCGAAACTTTTTTTTTGCTTGGTTTGAAAGTACAATGTCTTGAGAATACAAGTATATTGTAAATATTTCAGACAGAAATTCGAAATATTTCGGGAGTTATAACGAGTTTCCTAGAGCGCCTCGGAGTCCAACCTTTACGGTTGTTGAACTTTAAACGCGTTTTTCTCAAAACATTGTTTTTCGGGTCGGCCCGGGTCCTAACTTTTCTACTGAACCGATTGCTTTTAAATTTTAACAGCCTGTTCTTCACACATACAGTTCTCGTCGGTACTAACGAAACCCCTAACTTTTTATTTTACAACCCTTTCTTTTCTAAAATAAAAGGACTTTTTTTTCAAAGTCCGCTATTTTGTTATTTACCCTTGAAATTTAACTTCAGTAGTTCTGATCAGAACGACATGTCTATAGATTGAGAATAATCAAGAATATTTCATTTCAGATAACATCAAGAGCCAAAATCACCCGGGCCACCCACGTGCATTTTTTTTGAGGTTCCAACTTCGAGTGACAGTAAAAATAGTAATAAACTATAAAACTAAAAAAAAAAACACTTTCAAGAGTGTTTGGTACCAGCAAGACGGAGCAACTGCACATAAAGATCGGTTATTGCGGAGCTCCAACGAAAATTTTAAAACCAGAAATTTATATTAAGAAACTCCACTTTCCGCTGGCCCCCAAGGTCACTTGACCTGTCTGCATCAGACTTTTTGATAGGGTTATGTCAAGCAAAAGGTGTACAAAATAAAACCCAGAAACCTGACTGAATGAAACAGTCCATTAAATCGATAATTGAGGTAATCCCGAATTCAACCCTTAAGGCCGCAATGAATAATTTTCTAGTTTGTGTCGCATATACGTGGCTGAGCATGGAGGTCATTTACGGTCCATAATTTTCAAAAATAGTTAATTATATATAATAAAATAAAGTTGGGAGTAACCGAACATTTTATACTCTCGCAAATTGCAAAGATTAAAGACCGAGAAATTACTTCAGGTGTTGGCAAAACTTTATATTAAAGGAAGTATTGACCCGATTCATCCCATTTTTGACACAAAGACATACTATTATCGAAAGTTTAATTTATTTATTTTATTATATGAATTTCAATGGTATATCTTACACATTGACCGTTATTTTCGATGAAAGGTCCACTATAGGCACTGGGGTCCAGAAATTCAGTATCTAGGGGCTTGAACAATTTTAGTTCAATGTAGACAATTTTTGGTCACAAGGTGGCATACTTTAAACGCATTATTCACACAAAGTTTTACTCCGATACAAAGATTACTGCTTGATTTGCATAGTAGAAAGTGAAAGAATCTGATGGAATTTAAAATGGAGTTATATGAGAAATAGGCGTGGTTGTAATCCGATTTCGCCCATTTTCGCATTATAACATAGAAATATGAGAAGAATGTTATGCACAGAGTTTGGTTGCAGATCCCAAGATATGGGGTTTCACCTAAAAGTGAGCGGTGCCACGCCCACTGTCTAATTTTGAAGTCGGTTCCTATAAAGTCATCTCATACCATCCTAGAAATAAAATTTAATGTTTGTGGAGTGTTTAGTGCTTGATTTATCGCGCCTTTAGTAGTTTTTAACAGTACCGTTATATGGGGAGTGGGCGGGGTTGTCACTTGATTTCACCCATTTCGTCCTGACTGTCGATAGAGGTGCTAAAAGAATTTTTTTATTGTAGCTTCAGTGGTTTAGGAGACATGCACAATTAATATGTTAGGGGTAGGACCACGCCCACTTTTTAAAAAAAGTTTAAACCGCAGAAGCCGCTCCCTAATGTGATCCTGTTTACCAGTCTTGTATCTTATTGTGGAGCTTAGTTATGGCAATTTATTTGTTTTTGATTAATGGCGTTTTTTGGGCGTGGCTTTGGTCCGATTATGCCCATCTGCAATACCAACCGTCTTACGGTACCAAGAAATATGTGTAAGTTTCATAAAGATATCTAAATTTTTATTCAAGTTACAGCTTGCACGGACGGACGGACAGACAGTCACTCGGATTTCAACTCGTCTCTTCATCCTGATCATTTATATATGTATTGTATATATAACCCTATATCTAACTCGATTCGTTTTAGGTGATACAAACAACCGTTAGGTGAACAAAACTATTATACTCTGTAGCAACATGTTACGAGAGTATAAAAATAACCGTTATGCATTGGTTAAAAAAACAGTGATTACAGTTTGTTTTGTAGCACGATTAGTAGCCACGCTGTATGATTGTAATTCATTCATAATTTCGTAGAATAGCGAATATTGAATTCCTTCGCAACGTTTTGTTTCATATAGAAAATGCACTAGCTAAGTCTTCTTTTATTTATACACACTTGCGCCAGCTCAACTTCTGAACACATTTAAAAAACACGTTTTCTGGAGATTTACAAAGTAGACCATATTTCGCCGATGATTATGAAACGATTCAGAACCTTTTTTGGAATGCGCTTAAACCGAAGAACTTAGAAGAACGCAAAGGTGCAAATCGAATTTTGTATGATGCTCGATTGGACGGCTAACAGAGCTGAATAACACCGAGTAGGGAATTTACCATTTTCGAATGTATTTGCTACTATTTAGCAGAAATGAGAACTTATAAAAACGTTCTCTGGTAGAAATACGTATCTACCAACATAAAGAGAAAAATGAAATACAAATGCCTCTACACATATGCGTGATAAATTTATTTTTATGATAAAACTTGAACAAAATAGATTTTTTTGCACAAATGCGGCATGATAAAATGGGAAAGGTTATACAAAAAAATTATATATTTTTAAATCGTTTTCTAATTTCAGTTAGTACAAAATTAATAATTTATCTATGTACATAAGTATGTATGTATGTAGATCAATATGGAGTCGAACAAATATTGATTTGCCGTCGGCAATTTCGATGTAATTTGTGTGTATGTATGTATGTACACATGGAGGAATAGAACTTATGATATTACCACTTGTGCATGTGCGTGCAATATGCGTATACATTGCAAAATAAGTAATGCATACACAAACCTACATACATACATGCCAGCAAATGTAAGTTTGGGGGGGCTGATGGCCAATAGAAAAAAACACAAACGTTGTTGTACAAAAACTACAATTGTCTCAAATAGCATGAGCAGCATCAGAAATCAATATCTCAGCCAAATTGACAAATCCTAAATTTGTTGTAAATCACACAACAACAATATTTTCATTGATGAACGCAAGCGCACTTTGAACAAGCAAACTCGCTTCATTCATACTCCCCGGGCATGTGTTTGCCTACAAGCGTCTTTTCGCGACGATGGCTAGAAACCATATATTAAATAACTTCTGATGTTCCCTCTTGAAGGGAAAAGTGACAACCCCGCAAACCCACAAAACACAGAAAAAAGTGGCAACAAAGCTTTTGTCGATTTAAAATATTTCTTTGTTGTTCACAAAAATCTGCGTCAATATGTATGCATGCTCATATATAAACATACATATTTACAATGATTTGTAGGCAAAGCTGTTAGAGCGGCAAAGGAAGCGGTGGCAATCGGGTAGCCTTTGTTTATTTTTTTCGGCACATTTCGGATTTTCTACCAACAACACAATGTAAAACATTGACATGAAAACAAAAACCATGGGATTCGGTCATTGGTTGACCGTGTCAAGGGAGAATTCACATGAAGCAATGAGTGTAAAATGTACATTCATATGTTGTTTGTAGAAAAATTTACAAACATTATGCGTTCTTTCGTAATTATTTACATGCACACATAATTATATATGTATGAGTATATGTGCGACCGCTTGGTCTTTTCAGATGTCAGATGACTTTTAATGACCAAAGCATATATGTAAGTATAACAAACATACTTCATTATGCATCAAATCTATATTAATTTTATATGTAGGTAATACTATAAGCTGTAATTTAGTATATACATATGTACATATGTCAAAGGATTTTTTGAATTATCTAGGAATAAATTAATAGTAAGAATAAATTAACATATTGTAAAAAAACTTTAAAAATAATAAATAAAAAGTCATGCTTCAAACAGTCACCGACGCAAAACCTATCTTATGAGAGCGCAATGTAAATGGACACTCACCACGGCTTCTACCGTCCGCTTTTACAGACCATACGTTAGGATATCCGCGAAAATTGGATTTTTCCAGTAGAAACGAGTGAGCTGAGAGTTAGAGAGCAATCTCTTGCAACGCAGATTTTCCAGTCTCGATATTTTGTAGTAATTAAAAAATAAACTTGAATATATTTGAAATATTCTTAAAATAATTCAAAATCACAGTCGAATACATTTATTTATATATAGGTAGACTATTTTTAATTGTTGGATCTTAGTTTTTAGCTTTTATATTTTTAAAAATGTGTGAAAAATTGTGTATACAAATAGAGCAATGGCAACAGTAATGAAATGAAAACAAAAGAGAAAAACTGATTTCTGCGTTCTGGGCATGTACAGTTTTGGTTAGGTAAACAAAACTATTATACTCTGTAGCAACAGGTTGCGAGAGTATAACAAGAAAACACGTGGGTTGCACTGAAGCTATAATATCCTTCACAGGTACATTTTTCATGGCATAAATGGGTAAAAAAGATCTTTAACTTGATTTTAAGCGGTCGGTTTATATGGCAGCTATATGCTATAGTTATCCAAAGTTGTACTGTTGCCTTGGACAATAATTCGTTTCTAATTTCGTGAAGATATCTTGTCAAATAAAACAGTTTTTCATACAAGGAACTGTATTTGAGCGTTCAGTTTGTATTGCAACTATATGATGTAGCGGTCCTATATCGGCGCTTCCGACAAATGAGCAGTTTCTTTGCGAGAAAAGAGCGTGTGAAAAATTTCAGATTGATACCTCAAAAAACTGAGGGACTAATTCGCGTATATATCCTGTTCTGGATATAAAAATGTTTCACCTGCCATATTTATAACTATTAGCAGGATGTAAGTTGAAAAATGTAAAACATAATTTTTCGGGAACATATTCGCGTACACTTTGTTGGGGCATTTAAACATAGAAATTTTTGTTTGATATTTACAGAATGCTATCAACCCCTCTATTAGGACTTCCACAATGCGCACAATTGTGCAAGTTAACTCGTTTACGCCAAATCACATAATTGTTGCATTTTATAGTGAAAAAGAAAAGAATATGTGGATATTGCTATGATTTATGTCCTTTCAAGTGTACATGAAAAAACCTTACAGTTACACGATGACATATCCTCATTTAATTTTGCTCCCTTTCAACAATGACTTTCACGGTATTTTACTGTTGCCATTTCGGTCTTTGTGCCGTGCCCACCTTTCACATGCGCTGTGGTGGATGTTCGGCATATTGTGCGTAAGTACACACAAATCGAGGCCTATGTATGCATTTGTAAGGATGTGTACGCATTAAAAATACTGCATAAAGGTCTTTGCCAATGCGCCTCCCCCGAAGTAAACATTTGTGACACTTGAGAATTTATTATTTTTTCACGCTATTATAGCTATTGTAATAACTCTTTTGTAGAACTTTATTTGCAGTTTTAGTGTTTATTCGTTTTTGTAGTTGTTCATAACGATGTTGTTGGTATTACGATACAATTCCTAAATAAGACAGCATAAATAAATGTTTTTTGATGGGACGTCATTTTATTTCATTTCATTCTGTCGCTCATTGTCCCTTTCAACTGTTTACTTAACTTTCGATTCTTGACAAGCATGCACATATGTAAGTACAACAGCAAACTGAATTGCCCGCACTTGATACACTTGACGAACTTGAAGCGCTTGACACTTGACGATCAACTAGTCGTAAATTTCCGATAATTTTTTGTGAAATAGCATTAGCTCTGGGACGGGGAGTCGAAAGTTATTACGGAATAACGTTTTGATTAAAATTTCAAATGATAGTTACTTATTTGGCTTTTATCATTACTTTAAACAATTATCCATGCCAAATTTCGTGAAGATATCTTGTCAAATAAAAAAGTTTTCCATACAAATGCCTAAATTTGATCGGTCGATTTGTATGGCAGCTATATGCTATAATTGTCCGATCTGAACAATTTCCAGATTGTACCATATTTTCCATTTCAGAATGTTTTATACATTTTATGAGTGGTTTTGTTGCCCTATATATAAAATCGATTTTGGATATATTTATGCTTACAATTCATGAAGCTATCAATGATTTTGTGAGACTTATTTACATTACATTACAAAAATCAGAAAACATGACACAACGGATATATTTATAATGTCTGTCTTGTTTTGCAAAATACGGATACGTCGAAGCATACAGAGAGAAAATTGTCTAAAACGTATGTTTTCAAAAAAATTCTTTCGTGAGCTTTTCCTTTATAATATTCCCGTTGACAAACTGTTTTTAAATATCAGCAACAATCTGCCATAATGGGACGATCGCATCAACCTTGATACCTTTCTTCCATCACTCTCAAGTGAATAAAAATTATTAAATGATCCAGTCATAAAAGTAACACTTTCATAGGACAAAGTTATGATGAAATATTTGTGCTAGTTAAATTTTACATTACAGCTATTTTAGCCCACTTTACGACTTTATGATTTTTAAAAAAACTAAATCAAACTAAAAGCCAGAAGCAAAAACTAGTAGTAACTAAAACTCAAAATAAAAATGAAAAGACAAACCTGAATACGTGCCTCGGGTAAACCAATTTTTTCCGCAAGCCTTTCACGTGCAAATACATCTGGATAATGTGTTCTCTCGAATTCTGCAAAATTAGAAATATAGTAAGAAATAACATTATTGTAAATGCATAGTTTTCGTTACAGAAAATGAAAAAAAATCAACATTTATAGAAAAACATATTTTATATCTTTAAAATTAAGACTAAATAACTTTTATTTTAGGAAGCTTTAGTAAAAAGTAGTATATTAAAAAACTCACATCCATAAATCCCGAAATTGTGTTTCTTTGTTTCTAGTATACAAAGTTGCACCGAAAGTTACTGAACGTAATAACTATAAGCTGATATTCTTATTTACTTGGTGAGACATTCACATTTTACGAAATATTATATTTCTTGATATAGTTATGTGCAATATAAACAAGTAAGGAAGGGCTAAGTTCGGATGTAACCGAACATTTTATACTCTCGCAAAGTCAAATGGTATACTCGTTTGAGATTTCTTTGTGGATTGACTGATATTCTCGGTAAAAGGTTAACTATAGGCACTGGGGTCCACATATTTAGTACTTAGGGGCTTGAACAGTTTTGGTTCGATTTAGACAATTTTTGGTCACAAGGTGGCATACTTTAAACGTATTATTCACGCAAAGTTTTACCCCGATATAATCATTGTTGCTTGACATGCATAGTGGAAAGTGAAAGAATCAGATGGAATTGAAAATGGTGTTATATGGGAAATAGGCGTGGTTGTAGTCCGATTTCGCCCACTATAACAAAGAAATATGAAAAGAACGTTAAATGTTAGGAATAATTTAAGAAAATAATTATATTCTATTTTTTCTTGCTTTTTGGGCTCACTTACCTTTTTCCAGGCTGTCGATTTGCTCATTTGTAAAAGAAGTGCGATTTCGTTGCAGTTTTCGTTTAAGACGCAATCTCATTTGGGAGTCCTCATCACCGGATGAATTGTGATCTGAATTACCGTCGGAAGTACTTTCATGAGAATTGGGATGCGACGCTTCACCTGAGAATAGATCTAGGAAAACGAAATAACTTTTATTCGTAACTGTTGCATCGTTATAGATACACTTACTACTTATATGTATGTAAACTGCTACTACTATAAATGTAATTGAATATCTCTTAATTTGTCAAATTTCAGAAAGTAACAAATTGAAGAGGTAACTAGGCAGGGCTTACGAAAAGAAATATGTTATACCACTTTACCAAAATCATATCACTTACTCCAAAACATTACGCACCAGCAGCGAGTGATAATATAATATAGATTCGACAATATTTATTGTTCACAAACGTTCTAGACCCTTGGAAGACTGTTCACAAAATATGTATATCGAAAATCAAAAATTAGTCACAGCTGCTGACCTTAGTCGTGGAAGCACTTTCCGACACATAACCGCATCTCCTTTGCTAGAAAAATTATTGGCGAATGCGAAAAAAATCAAAAATACCAAAGGGCCTAAAATAGATGGTATACCGAATAGAGCCTTAAAAAAAGCATGATTTTAAGATCCTGTTTGTTTGTTAAAACTTGCAATGCGTGTATAATAGAAGAAGTATTCCCCGATCTGGTGAAAGGGGGCCCAAAAAAAATTGCACGCAATTACCCTGGAGTTGAAGAATGCGTTCAACTTAGCGAAATAGGAAAATATAATCAAAGCTCTTTATAAAAAACGACCTCCCCAATACCTCATTAATATTAAAATTAGCTATTTTGAAAACAGAATATTGTTATTTGCACTCAGATCCACTCTATTTCGGCTGGAGTACCGCAAGGTTACTACTATCTGATGTATGATGGGTGCTAAAAATACATCAATCCAAAACAGTGAAAACAATCGCATATGCGGATGACCTCATAGTGATTGCAGTGGCTCCCATGAGTTTAGAGCTGGCTGACAGAAAACAGAAGTCTTGCTCATAAGCACAAGGACAGTGTAAGAAAGAGTATCACTCACCATAGGAAGGTGCGAGATTACTTCACAGCCGCAGAAGTATCTGGGACTATTATTGGACTCCAAACTACAATTTAGAAAATACCTGGCACACACTTTCAGTAAAGACAAAATCTATAATGCTCTTTCCCGAATGCATCGCCATCCAGCGATTTTTAATAGCAAAATAAATGAGTTTTATAATATTGTATGCGGCACCACTATGGAGACAGGCACTAGACATAAAATCATATGCTTAACAAATTAATACACTGCATAGGATTTCTGCTTTACGACTAACCAGTACTTTCGGAACCATATCTAACTCGCTGCTGAAGCAACGGTGGCGAACCTCAACCAAAAGACGGTGGACCAACAGACTGATTCCGGACATCTACATGTGGTTAGATAGACAACACGGAGACCTAGATTTCCACATAACCCAAATACTGAATGGACATGGATACTTTAGAAGCTATCAGTTCTGATTGCATCAGTACTATAACCCGTACAATCCGACGTGTACAGAGTACATAGAAGACTCTGAACACGTATTTTTTTAATGCCCTCGTTTTTTAAATATAAGAAAAAAGTTGAAAACTACACTTGGAGGTAATTTTTTGGTGGAAAATTTCACAGCACTTATCTGTCAATCCTCTGATAAATGGAAAGCTGTCAGCGAAGCGTTAGCTCAAATTATGACAAAACTAAGGCATATACAGTAGAATAGGTGTAGTCAGTCCGTAGTATAGAGGATATTTGAAAGTCTTTTTCTCTCCCACGAAGTAATACTTAACCCGATGGTTCCGTAGAAAATATGCGTTTGGAGTAAGTTTGGTTTAACGGATTACAGTTCTGCACTCCGGTTTTCGATGCTTCCCCCTAATATAAAAAAACCAATCATTTTATGCAACAGCATTCAAATTATCAAACAGGTCGATCTCATAGAATTGCTTTAATATTATTCACTTCACTTACTTCACTCAATTTAATATTTTTAAAACTTAACACTTCGTTAGAAAATAGAAGTTAAAAATATTTGTGTCCGATGTAATGCAGATATGAGCACGACTTATTTTTATTCTGTATGTACATACACTAGGTAGAAAAAGTCTCCGCTCACCAATCCGTGGAATGTGTTTCAATAAAAATATTAATATATGCGTTTTTGAAGTTATTTTCAGAATATTAGAATAGCATTACAGTCGCCAAATTTCATGGAATTTCTATGTGCGTTTGCAAAGTTAACGGCATTTTTTGAATTCTACTAATGGAGAATAAGCAGAAAAAGTATCCACTCACTGCTTATTAAATTATTGTAGTTTATTGTAGTTTCTACGCGTTTAAGGCCTGATCATTTTTTGCTCGTTGTTGTCAATACTAAAGATTTAGATAATCGAAGGAAAAATTTGCAATTTGTGAGTAAATTTTTCAAATTATTCAGCTTTAATCGAAATGAGTGCAAAAGGCAAAGAAATAAGTGTTGATGAGCGGAAAATAATATTAAAATTAAGGGAGGGCGGTAAAAGCTTTCGTGAAATTGGACGAGTTGTCAACAGACGCTAAGTTGTATCTCTTGTAAAGGTTAATCCGCATTTAACCGCTTCCCAAATAGCAGAAGATGTAAAAATACGATTTAAAAAAACAATATGCAGCGCCACAGCAAGACAAACATTAAAAAGGGCTGGTTGTCATGGGCGAGTGTCACACAAAAAGCCATTCAATTCCTTAAAAAATCGTAGAAGCGCATAGCATTTGCAAACGAACATATAACCAAGCCTATATCTTTCTGGGAATCGGTTTTATGGTCGGATGAGACCAAATATTGTGTATTTGGAATAAAACGAAGACAGATGGTGTGGCGAAAAACTGGTACGGTTGAGCATTTATGGGCTCTATTGGACCGCACATACGACTACCAGCAAAGAAATACTCAAGACCGTTATATTGGATGAATGGAGTAAAATGTCAGCCCAAGATACGAGAAAATTAGTACATTCCATGCCTAAACGTCTAGCAGAAGCTCTAAAATTTCGAGGCTACCCCACCAGCTATTAAACTTTTTATAATTACTTGATATTATTGTGTTCTGGTTGATGAGCGGAGACTTTTTCTGTTTGTTGAATAATTTGAAAAAAAAGGAAATTTTTTTAAGCGAAAAGATATTATTTAATAACACAAAAATTCTTAATTGGTCAAACTTTTATTTTAGTTCAAAAGATTTTGTATCCAGTGAGCGGAGACTTTTTCTACCTAGTGTATGTATGTATTCCATAACTCCCAAAACATGCGTATGTACGTACATATTGCACATTTATATGAATAGTGTCATAATTCTAAAAACACGATTTTTAAGTTGAGTATTCAGAAATGTGCAAATGTAAAAATTTCATAGTGAATCGTAGAAAAATAAACACTGGAGAAAATATTACGTTATTTCACTTGTTATGTTGTATTATTTTTTAGTTAACCACAGCAACAACACATCTCAGTTGTGCCAGAATTGACATAGGGTGAAGTCTAATTAATTTCCTACAAATATATTGTATATTTCTATATTTGCGATATTTTTTCAAATAGTTGGAAGCGAGTAGTGCTTTTTTTCTGGTAATAAAAAAAAGTTAGAAAACTGTAAGGCGGAGGACCTTCCCGTTACAACTAAGAGTGCATACTTGGAGAGACTTTCTTAGAAGTCTTTATCAACCAATTTTTCAGAGTACGAAGCCACATAAAACGTTCGTTTTTTGACCCACCCTAATATACATATGTATATATAGTATGTTGAATGACATTATTTTTATTTGGTGCGTCCTTTTATGTATGCAATAGTTAATTTTAGTTTTCGAACATTTGGCAAGATGACGAGATTGCCAAGTTGATCACTATCATAAGATACATTATAACAACGCGTTAAACTTTCCTCTTATACTTATCGCTATTTTAGCATCTTTCCATCTGCAACTGTGCGGAAAATTCCTTTCAGACTAATTTGATGGACATTTGTGTTATTTGAATTAATTTTTCAATTTATTAGATCGACTATGTTGTTAGCAGTTGGAAAGATTTCATTAATACAATATGTTTGCTGCGTGCACTGGCAAAATTATGTATGAGGGTTAGTTGGTGCTCGATTGCGGCAATGCTTAAATGCGGGTAGATATAAATTAATTTCGCATAAACTATAAATGTAATGATGTAGAAATTCGATTTCTGATATAATTTCAATTTCAGATATTTGTAGATCGATTCCAATTCGTGGGTTTTCATAGGGTAAGTGACGAAATACGCAAAAATATACAGTATTTATGTAGGTGGTCGATAAGTACCCATTTACCGAGTTAAAATAAGCAGTGAACATACTCCATACTAAAAAGTACAAAATTTCAGCATGCGATACTACTAACGTTCAAACATCAAATGACTGCCGAGGGTTTGACTTCCATGAGATGCAATTGCGTCTTTTCGTATACCATAATGACTCTTAGTATCTGTATAATACATTTCACAGGTGCATTTTTTATAGCATAAAAGCATCTTGATTTTGATCGGTCAGTTTAAATGGTAGCTATATCTTTTAGTGGTCCGATCTGAATAATATGTTCGGTGTTTGTAGCAATGCATTGTGTAAATATCTATGTAAAATTACGTGAAGATATCTCGACAAACAAACAAGTTTTCTATACAAGGACATGATTTGGATCGTTCAGGTTGTATGGCAGCTATATGCTATAGTGATCTGATTTCAACAATTTTTTCGGAGGTTCTACATTGCCTTAGACAATAATTTATACTAAATTAAAAAAATAAAAAGTTTTCCTCTTGTCCTCCTAAACCATAAAAATAGTTTGAATTGCAGCTATATGCTATAGTGGTGCAATATCGGCGGTACCGCCAAATGAGCAGCTTCTTAAGGAGAAAAGAACGTCCTCAAAATTTCAGAACGATATATCAAGAACTGAGGGACTAGGTTGCGTATATACAGACGAACAGACAAACGGATATGGCTAAATCGACTCAGCTCGTCCTCTGTTCATTTATATATGAATATTTTTTATAGAGTCTCCGATGTTTCTTTCTGGGT